GAAAATTCGATTGATCGTATGACGTGTGCTGCACCACCCTCTAGAGCTAAACGCAGATAAGGATATCGTTGGATGTCATTTATTGAACTGTTGCGGTTTATCAGAGAGTCAAACGTGTCCCTGAACTCTAGCCAATTTTCATAACTACCGGAGAATTTGGGCAATTTTCTCTCGGGTAATTTGACATTAAACTGGTTAGAATGCGTATTTTCGAGAGATTTGGTAGCTGGGGCTGCAGGGAATCTGCCAGAACCCGTGTCCGATACGCCACTGTTTACGGTGTAATAATCGGAAATTATTTTCTTGCAAGGTGACATAAGGAAGTAATAAACTGATTCAAAGTTTTCTCTCTCTTGTAACTGAGTATCGAAATCGTCTGAAGTAGATTCAATGCCAGATTGCACATGCTCAAAGTCTTGAAACATTTTCTCGTATATCTCTACCCTTAACTCAATGATAAGAGATTTGTCTAAAGTCTGCAAAGGAACATCTTGTCTCGCCTCCTCTAGCTGAGAAATATATTTTTTGAACGATGCAAGTTGTGCTTTGAATGCACCTCGTTTACAGATAAGCTATCAAAGAGTTGAATCTTCCATGTTTATAAAATGCCCAAAGGCAAGCAAGAAGGTAGGTGTAAGAAATGAAAGTATAAACCTTAAAGTAATCCACACAAGTAAGTGTAAATTGAGATATAAGTGATATGCACCGTTAACTGAGATATGAATTAAGGACATGAATGAAAATGCATGAAAATAAGCAGCTAGGCCTTTGGTAAGTATGGAGTGTATGAAAAGAAAGGGCTCACTGCGTAATCTCGACGCAACTTGTAGCTTGTAGGGTAACTTGGAATTTCTGAAGGGAACGCCCAACTAACCTTACTTCTAAATTTGGCGGTCTCTCCAAAGTATTTCGCTTTCTCAGGGAACTCACGGCACTGATGTATATCCAAGCTCGAAGGACCAAAATGTTTTGTAGTTTTTCTGCTGTTGGGCGGTGGCTTATGAAGGAAACACCCGCTTAAGGGAATGCGTGTTTATTCTCGAAGATTGTACAAGTGACGTATCTGTCATTAATTGCAATGGCGTCATATCGGTCTAGCTATCTCGTCGCGCATGCGCTTGATGTGGAAACAAGTATTAATACACACATGGGGGAAAGTTTTGAGGCGTAAACACTATGTTATGTAGTATGGCAGTTGAAACTATAACTGCCAGTGTGGTATTCAAATTTAATACAGGAAATCTCCTTTTCCACATCCCATACTTTCGTTCACCCACATTTCTAGTTCTGACTAATGATTCATTATACAGTGCTTCTGTACGATTTCTAACATCTCTCATGGGCATCAAAAAGTATGGTTTAATTGGATACCCACTATCTCCAACAAGAAGACTATCTTAATAAACATTTCTTTCAATGTTTTGGTATAAAATGGAATTTCTGAATATGTATGCATCACGAGCTGAGCCTGGCCACCTGGTTACTATATTTCTAAATTTTTAATCAGCGTCAGCTACTGACTGTACATTAAATGGAAGAAATTGTTCCCTATTCCTGAAAACTTCTGGATTTTCTCCAACAGGTGACTGAATCCTTACATGGCTACAGTCCATCGCCCCTATGCAGCGAGGTAGTTTTGCTACCTGGTAAAAATGTTGACCTACATTCTGCAATTCATCACCAACAGATATTGGAAATTGCTCGGCTGACTCTTCTTACTACACGACGGGCTGTTGATTTAGTCACACCCTGATGATCTCCTGCAATTCGTAGGAATGAACCATTTGCATAAAAATTTAAGGTCAACAAAACCTGCTGGTTTGGTGACAGGCATTCATATCTGAAACAAGAGAGTATTGTATATTTTGCCTTAGTCTTGTATTTCTAAAATATACATATACAGGGTGGCGCATCGAAAACGAAACACACGCATTTAGTATCAGCTCAGTTTTTTTTTATGAAAAACGCTCAGATCCATCGATTTTGTTTTCGAGGGGGACACAAGTTTGGCAAAAAATCACATTAACACATGCAGCCCCCTGGGTGGGGGTGACACCAACCCTAAAATCTTAAATGGAAAGGGGGGGTCGAGTGATACCTTATCTTAAAGGTCTTTCAATTCCCTTTATAATAATGTAAAATACATGAGCTTCAGTTCAGTAGTTTTGAAGATTTATTGATTTAAAGCTTAAAGTAGACTTTAATAGGTACATCAGATTAGTTTGTACTACTTTCAGAAGAAATTTGGCTAAAAGAATTTACTTAATAAGTAAATGCTTTTCTTCACTATGCCCATGGTTTGTTTATCATTTTGTTGATGAAAATAGCTATTGGGGCGTTTTTTTGTGGCAAAAAAATTATTTCTTGAAGAAAGATCTCGTACTTATTTTAAATAGAAATTTAGTACATAGTTTGCGATTGATTTGACCAAACTTTGTTGCTAAAATAACTTGTAACACTTTATTACATAAATTAACCACAGCAGAAAGAGTTGAAATTATCGAAATATTTTTCGGTAATAATCAGTGCGCTAATAAAACAGCAGAAATATATAATGAGCGACATGAGAACAGTAACGTGCATCGAAAATATGTTCTAGAACTTGTAGCTAAATTTCGGGAAACTAGGTCAGTCGCCAATAAAAAACGCAACATTGAAAATCCCATTAGGAACGAAGCAATAGAAGTTTATGTAGATCCTACGTTAAGTACCCGCAAATTGGAGACGATCTTGATCGGCGATTACAATTTTGTGAAGATATGAGTGAACGAATTACAAACGATGAACATTTTCTATTCAACACTTGCTTTTCCGATGAATGTTCCTTTTTCTTAAATGGCGTAGTAAATCGTTATAACTGCCGATATTGGTCCGATTCTAATCCCAGAATTTATCATGAGGTTCATACACAGCAACCACAAAAATTAAATGTTTGGGCTGGTATTTTTGGCGATCATTTAGTTGGTCCTTTTTTATTACCTGGAAATTTGACCGGTGAAATGTATTTGGAATTACTGGAAGACGCCATAGATCCTGCATTAACAGCCATAATTGAAAATCAGAATGCTCGGCAATCCATTGCGAATAGGTTGATGTTCCAACAGGATGGTGCCCCACCACATTACGCATTACGTGTTCGACAATATTTAGATCAGACGTTTCCAGATCGATGAATTGGTAGAAGAGGTGCCATTGAATGGCCCCCAAGATCACCAGATTTAACACCTTTGGATTTCTTTATGTGTGGTCATTTAAAAAGCAAAATCTATGCAGTAGCTGAGTACAGCCAACATCATTAGAAGACCTGCGACAAAGAATTGTGAATGAGTGCCTTCAAATTACTCCTCAAATATTGCAAAATGTGCGGCAACGTTTTGAGCAAAATTTTTATTATTGCATGGAGAGTCATGGTGGCCATTTTCAACATTTACTTGCCTAACGGGTCAGTTCATTCTTCATTTTTAAATTACTTTGCTGCCACATGTATTGATCTCCACTAATGATGATGTATTAGTTTTATTTAAGCTTTAAATCAATAAATCTTCAAAACTACTGAACTGAAGCTCATGTATTTTACATCATTATAAATGGAATTGAAAGACCTTTAAAATAATATCACTCGACCCCCCTTTCCATTTAAGATTTTAGGGTTGGTGTCACCCCCGCCCAGGGGGCTGCACGTGTTAAGGTGACTTTTTGCCAAACTTGTGTCCCCCCCGAAAACAAAATCTTCGGGTCTGAGCGTTTTTCCAAAAAAAAAACTGAGCTGCCAGTAAATGCATCTGTTTCGCTTTCGATGCGCCACCCTGTATATAGCATGGCAGGGCAAGCTCGATTGTGTGTTCAGGAATTCTTCTCATAATATGCGTCCGAATATTCGACAACATCCACAAAAGACAAAATAGAAATGGCTGCTGGTGAAAGAAGGGATTTTTTTTATTACGGTACACTATTCCCAGAAAACTATCTATAAAGAGTGTTTTTCCGTGTATGCACCTGCTCCTATATATAGTAGGTGGTACCCCAAGCTGTCATGCTATATATTATAAGGGTTTAAATAAAGGCACTGTATAGTGTTTTGGGACAACTTTCAACAAGGAATGTCTATGCAATTTCACCTGTGCTAGGAGCGAAGGTCTCACGGTCAGGATTTGAAATTTCTTTTATCTAGGTTAGAAATATACTTCTTGCAGGTAGCACCCCAGCTGTCACCCCATATATGATATTATGGGATTTAATTGACACATGGTACGATCGAAGGACTCCCGGATAGAAATGATACATTTAGTTTTTTTGTATACTTATGTATATTTGATTATTAGACCTAGTATTGATTTTTATATTTATTATTTTTGTATAATATATAACATATATATTTGTAATTTTTTTGCACACATATTTTCAAATTTAAAAGATAAAGATCTTATCAGTACAAATGACTTACAATCAGTTAGAATATATAGTCAAGGAAAGTATGGGTAACAAATGGTCAATAAATGTTGATAGATCTGCAGGATTTGGGAAAACAGTCCTGGAGAAAATACTTAATAATTAAAGGAATAATAAGTATTTCGAAAATTACAAACGTACCTCTATTTAACCACACCTAATCTATTATTTTTGAGAATTATGATACACGTATTATACACGACGGAAAAAAATTAAATTAAAAATTAATTTTAAGGTTTATTACATTATACATACATATATGTACATTTTCAAAAATCAAATAAAAGTAAAAGTGTTTCTTTTATTCTAAAAGCGTGCCCCTCTTCCGTTGTGCCATTTCATTCAAGTTGTTAACCCTTTTCATCGCATCGTCCATTTGCCGTTTCCTAATATTTTTCTGTTCACGTACGCGCTTTCTGTCCATCTAACTGTTTTTGAAGTTCCTCGTCTTGATAAAGAAGTTCTCGCAGTTTTTTCCACTGCCAATTGTCGCTCGGTATTTTGGATGTCTGATTTCAGTAGCATTATACTTTCTTTGAAAGCATTTATACCAGTTTAACTATTCGGCTGCTTGGTGGTGAGATGTGAACCTTCACTGCTGGAAGCGGCGTTGTTGTGGGATTATCCATTGTATTTTTCAACACCGCAGCTTCAGCAGGTCTAATTTGAATGAACTCCTGGAGTTCTATGTCAGTTATCATCTAAGTCAGTTGAATTCCGTCACATTCCAGGTCAGCTATAATTGCATCCAAATCATTATGGAGGACTGCAAGCTCATCTAGATTATTCGCGGTTGCTTGCATAATGATATTGATTATGGGGATAAAATATGCTGGTACTAACAGACTCAACTAGTGTAACGTAGCAGGAGCGACTGATAGAACGATCAATCGGTAGGTTAGAGGCATTTTATCATTAGTAAATATACGGCGTGGCCTAACCTCTTGTATGCATGCTAACCAATAAGGATACGTAAAGGAAGGTAGGTTCAACGTTTTTATATTACCCTTGTGGACAGGTAAACAGGTCTCTGAATCTGAAACGAAAGATAACAGTGGAGGGAGTAGTGAAGTGGGTATGTTTCGGGCTATTGGAATGAATGTAAAAATCAATGTGTCTATGTTAGTAATTTAAAACAAGATTTAAATAATTTGTATTTCTTTTATTGATACAACCATTTCAAACATATAGAGACTACGTAAATATAACACAAAACATAAAACTGAGAATCCAAAAAACACTACAACACATCATTGATATCTATCCAAGAGTTTTTATAATGTGAAAATCCCAACTATTTAACTAGCAGCTTGTTGCCCTTTATCCTAATCACCTTTTCAATCAAGTTCTCATTTGGAAATTTTGCTTTTCTTAGTTCCTTCTCATAGAAACAGCCTTTTATTGGACAACTTTCCACGTCTTCTAACATATATGTAACTGGATTTGAAATGTTGACTTTGTATATTTTAAATAACTCCGTTGAGTAGTTCGATGTATAACCCTTTTTCAAAAAGACTTTTGTATTTGCTTACTCTGACGATATCGCCAGGTTTAAGCTTTTCCAGCTACTTTTGGATGATTGTACACATTCAATCGTGTATGGAAGTCGACTCCGATGGGGCTTACACCTGTCGTTCGATGTTTCCTGTTGTTATAAAAATCAGTAACATCTGCTAAGATATTGATCCACCGGTAGCTCCCCCTGACTGAAAATTCAGTGAAAAGTAGGTGTTTTAGTGATCGGATAGCTCTCTCAACTATTGCTGCTTTTTTTGTACTATATGTGGAATAATGATTAATCCCATACTTTTGCATCAGAGCGGAAAATTTGCTGTTGTAGAACTCCGATCCATTATCCGTTTGTAGGTTCTTTGGGTGGTGGATAGCCGTTTGTAAAATATCATCTATTGCAATAGTTACGGTTACCATATCTTTCCTTTTAATTGGTCTGCACCACATGAACTTAGAATAGCAATTGATAACTACTAATATGTATCTATAACCATCATTCTCTTCACTGAAAGATTGCATTTCAGCCAAATCAGCTTGCCACAAGTCAGCGAAACCCTTTATGATAGTTCTTCGGCGGGGGAAATTCCTTCGAGCTGCCATATGTAGCTCCTTGGATATACCACGTTTTGTTTCGCTTACGATAGACATATTCACTACTATGAACACCCTGATGGAATGAGCTTGTATTTGCAGGTATCTAGTTTATTTAGATGAAAGTGATAGGTTTAAAATCGTACTCAACTCGTTAAACTTTTTATCAAAGTCACGTTTACTGTCCAGCACCGTATCGTTGCAGTATGTCACTGAATCACTTAATACATTGGAAACTGCTAGTCGCATCAATTTACCCATTTCGGTTACAAATTTATTCATGGTTTCTTCAATATAATTTACAGTCACAGCATCGTTTTTGTCCACAGGATCACCAACATTCTTTATCAGTTCTTTTTCAATATCATAGTCAACATTAGTAGTTAGTTTGAATCCAATACCAGGTATACCACGTATGGTATGCAATTTTGACCCGCGGCGACGTCCAAATTTGTAAACGGCACCATACCTCACACCATGTTGCATTGAAGGCATATTTGTAAGTGATGTGATATCCTCTAGGTTGACAAATAAAAATATATGCAAATCAACGTATAAAACTCCCTCTTCACGCAATTCTTCTATTATTGATATCATTTCATTATCATGGTTTGTATGCCCAGACATTTTTGAGCTATATAGCAGCCTCAGTCTATCAATTAACTCATTGATATTATTCCAATATACATATTCATATTGCTTATAGTTATATATTTTATATTTGGGTGCTTTCAAATATATACCTCGACCCACTGATGATCTCAGGCGTCTGGTCGTTGTTGTTGATATGATACTCAGTAATTTAGCGAAATATTCAGTTCCATCGTTTCTGAAGTCATATGTAGAACAATATGGTTTACGAAGTACATTAGTTTTAATCATTATATTTTTGAATGTATTCAAGTTTCGGGGGTCTAAATTCTTTGTATCAGGCAGTTTGTCCAAAAATATCAAATCAAGTAATTCGGGAGACATTTTAAATTTTATTCTCTCCTTCTTCTTCTCAGAATCCAATAGCAGGCAACAACCACCAATATCAAAGCTCACTTGGAGTTTGCTTAATAATAACTTGTCCGTCTGTGGATTTATTCTCACATATTATATGCCTCCATAGAATGCTGTATGGTAACGAGTCATTTGGTGATCCGCAAAGTATAGTCAACGCCTTCGCTGATTTTTTCTCCAGCGTTTACTCAACTGCTGATGTCGATACTGAGTTGAACTTTGATTTCAGTCATAGTGGACTCGTCGACATTAGTTGTGAGCCAATATCAGATGAGGAAATTTTAGTGGCCTGTAGAAAGCTTAAAAGTAAATTGACTACTGGACCTGATCAAATCCCATCTTTTATTGTTAGAGATTGTATCAGGAAATTAGATCATCCTTTACGGGTTATCTTCAATTTAATCCTAACAACGACTGTTTTCCCCGATAAATGGAAAATTGCCAAAGTTTGTCCAATTCCAAAGTAAAAAAATTATCACTGTATCAGTGAATATAGGGCTATATCTATACTCAATAATTTTGCAAAACTCTTGGAGATCGTACTGTACAACCGCATATACCTGTCCACTAAAAATAATATTTCCATCGATCAACATGGTTTTATAAGGCAGCGTTTAACAATAACAAACTTAATGGTATTTAGCCAATACTTGTGCGATATATCAGACAATAAAGGACAGGTAGATTTGGTGTACACCGATTTCTCGAAGGCCTTCCATAGGGCCAGCCACAGTATTTTGCTCCGAAAGCTTGAGTACCTGGGCTTCAACAACATTTACTTAGCGCTCTTAGCATCATATCTGTTTGAAAGGAAACAGTATGTTTTTTATAATGGCTACATATCACATGTTTATGTATCAACCAGTGGCGTACCACAGGGTTCGAATTTAGGACCACTGTTGTTCATATTGTTTGTGAATGATCTGTGTGAATCTTTGGCTTGTTCCGAGTTAATGTTCTCAGACGACCTAAAATTTTATTCATCCGTTTCATGCTTGGAAGACTGTGCATTTGTTCAAGGTCAAATAAATAAATTGCAAAGCTGGTGTGCCAAGAATCAACTTCATCTTAATATAAGTAAGTGTAAAGTAGTAACTTTTTCAAGGAAAACCAACCCTTTGGTATATAATTATACAATGATCGAACATGTTCTTGAGCGCAGTGAAACTGTGAAAGACTTAGGTATCTACTTTGATCAACATCTAACCTTTAATGAGCATATCAATCAAATCATTTCAAGCGCTTACCGAACCTATGGCTCCGTTATCAGGAATTGTAAATCTTTTGACGTTTTGACTTTGCAGACATTATACTTTAGCTTGGTTAGGTCTAAGCTTGAATATGGATCTTTGATATGGAGTCCGATTTACAAGCAGTGTATTGATGTTGTTGATAAACTTCAAAAGAAATTTTTAAAATTTTCATGTTTTAAGATCGATGGCATATATCCTACTAGAGGTACTGAATACAACATCCTTCTTTATAAATTTGGCATTCAATCCTTAGAACAACGGCGTAAGCAGTATAGTTTTATATAAATTACTGCATAATCTAATAGACTGCCCTACAATACTTACACAAATACAGTTTCTGGTACCACGACTAACATCAAGGTATAATGTTCCTTTTTTATGTCAAAGAGCTCAGACAACCTTATTGTCGAAAGCGCCTGTCAACACGATGTGTGTGAATGCGAATAAAATAGCCGATGTATGTGACATATTCTAATGTAGCATAGGTGAATTGAAGTGCAAATTGCGTGCTCACTTTTGATTTATTTTACGTTTCTTATTTTTAAGCTGTAGCTATATTTATTTTTTGTTATTGATACATGAACTTGTAATTATTATTGTTTTCTTTTCTTCACAAGCTACCTCATGGTGATTTTGTTTCTTTTCATAGTAGTTTGCTTTGTAAATGGTGTTAAACTGTTATTATTATTATTATTATATCCTGGATTGTTTGCTTTCAAATTAGATATATGGTTATTTATCAAGTTGGTCAAAGATCTGGATGCCTCACTATGATTTGAAGTAAATATGTATCTACTCATTGAATTTTCTTCATGCGCTCCGAGTAATGAATGTGTGTCAAATTGCGTTTGCATCGGGGCAATAGTAGAAAGTTTAGTATGAGTCAAGTCACCAATGCGTTTCCTGAATTATCTGATTTCATACATTGTGCCCTAGGTGTGCTTGTAGTCGGTGGAAAGATTTGCTCAAATGTATGGTCATTGAATTCACTACTGTTCTCAAGCAACTCAGTTTTTCTTACACCTGATTTTGTCGCAGCAAATAATTTCTTTCTTGATTCATCAAATGATACTTTTTTAGGATGCTTGGACTATCGATTTGGGGTGTTGACTGTTTCAACAAGCTGGATGTAGATGCTTCCGCTATTGTTTTGAGCTGCTTAGTAATGGGCTCATATACCTGCTGCACTGCAGTATCATGGAATTCACGTCCTTTCTTGATAGCAATAAATTTCTTCCGAACTGATTCTGCTGCATCTACTAATTCCTTCTTGAGTGCCACTTCGGTGTTATTCTGCTGCCGTTTAATTTTGCTATCTTATAATCCACCGCGATGCGTACTAGATGCAGTCCCACGATTGATTGATGGTGTTTATAATCTTCCAATGGATTTATGAAACTATCAAACGCCTTCTGGTAACGACCACTTGTCAGTTCTTTATCCTTATCGATGACTAAGAATCCGTATTTATCGCTCCAGCATATTGCACACATGTCTTGAAATTGTTTAAAGGTCATATCAGGTGCTACATAATCGGAGAAAATATGAGATAAATGTGCGTTATCCACCTAGACTAAGACAATTAGGTTAGCATTGTCTCTTATTACTCTTTTAGGCACCCAGGAGTAACTCTGCACACAATAGAAGCAATCCACACCTTTGTGCCTACCCAAACTGAACTATTCTAGAATAGAAGTCTGATTTTCTGTCATTACGTCATCAAAAACGAATATTAAATTCGATGGCGGTAAGATATCAGCATTGTTGTTAAATGCATAATATCCTAAACCAGGGCTGTCCAACATGCGGCCCGCAAACTCCTTCCTTGCGGCCCGGTTCACGGGTCATGTATACATCAGCTGTATAAATTACTTTCAAATACCGAATATGCACAATTCTTACATTAACTCTGTAATAATGTTGTATAGGAAGATTTTATAATGCGGCCCTCCAAACTGCATTTTTTTTTGAAGTGGCCCTTGGGCCACATTAAGTTGGACAGCCCTGTCCTAAACCATCGACCAAAGTTAGTACTTTCGTATAAATTGATGTTTCGGTTGATTCAATGATTTTGAAAATATATAGACGTTTTCAAAGTAGAGTCCATTCTCATGTAGCAGTAACGATATTAATACGTTGGTTTTTCCACAGTTCGATGGTCTAACAATAATACAGCGGATTGTGGATGGGAGGAGACTTCCATGGCGCTGCATAGCATTGTTTTGTATATCCGCCACTTTTGTATCAATATTGCTGATACATAATTCTTGTTTCTGTTTTGTGAGCATCATTGCACAACGAGTTGAGCATATATAAACTGCAATTGTGTATGTCTTATTTATTTAAATGCCACTACTTCGAATTAGAAGGTGTCAAAGCACTATAGAAGCTGGCGGTGGTGGTGGTGGTTTTGTCGATACGCATCAGCGTATCAAGATAAGTTACCATTCGAAGTACACTTACCTTCTTACCAGTTCTGCGGTCCAGGGACACGTCTTCAAAAAAGGTTAGCCCTAGGCATAAATAAATTAGACGCTGCATGCTTACAGCATGATATTGCATATCAGAAATCTGATTTGACATCGAGACACGTTGCTGATTATCAACTTGAGCAAGAAGCTTGGAAAAGGGTCAAATCTCGAGACGCAAAACTTGGAGAAAAATCTGCCGCTTGGTTAGTTACTAATATCATGAAAGTAAAACGTCACGCAGGAATGGGTCTAGCATCATGTCGTGGATGGAGTAGAAGAAAATACATCCGCAGAAAATCAGGTATTATGAAAGTCAAACGTCGTATAGGTATGGGAGGACATGCATTACGGCATGGACCTAAAGGAAGAAAAGCTAACCCTAGAAAATCAAGTAGATCACAGAAAAAGGTACATTTTGGATCGGGTATAGTGAATAAAGTATGCAAACACATGAAAAGGTTCTCCAACTGCAAACCAGACAAGAGAGTATTAGCAAAGGAGACTTCCACTGCACTACTTGCTGCCCGGAAGCATATCAGATCCATCGGTGGAAAACGGCTGATTCAGCTTCCACAAGTTATACCTATTCCCGAGGTTGGAGGCATCCTTCCTTTGATACCAATTTTTGCCGGTCTTTCAGCATTAGGTAGTCTAGCTGGGGGTACTGCCAATATAACAAGAGCTGCTACAACAGCTAGTTCAGTGCGTGAGCAAATTCAAAATAAAAGCACTTCACCACCTTCTTCTAATGTGAATCGAATTGGGGATGGTCTCTTTCTGAAACCATACTGTACAGGATTGGGGTTATTCATCAAGTTAAGTAATTCAAAAAACTATTGAAAACCCTTCCCCCTCGACCACTAACAAATATAGATCCAATCTATTATACTAGGACGCTAAAAATACCATATTTCAAAGGAGTGTTTATGCGCGATGAAATGTCCAAGCAGGGTACGCTGAAGAATGAATCAGTCATAATTAATTTAGATAACAAGAGTGGGTCACATTGAGTTTCATATATAAAACGTAGGATGGTTGTATGATACTATGATAGTTTCGGCAATCTACCCCCACCCAAGGAGCTAATCAAATATTTGACCAAAAAGTCGAAAAAGATAAAAATCTTGTACAATTATAATCGACAACAACAGTTCAATACGGTGTGGTCATTTGTGACTGAAGCAGATGGACCGCCACCAAGAAAAATATTTTACTATAACATGCAAGATATCAATGTTAAAAATACATCTGAATCAAACAACTATTGTAACCAATAAATATTTTTTGACCTATATAAGACCATGTTTTCATTCATGAACTCTTCAGTCATGTCTAACACATTTACTCTTTCAGGTTACACTAGCAAACTGTTTGCTAATTTTTATCCAACAAACGAGTTGAATATAAGTGCGGAATACGGTCTGGGCTTAATTGGCTTTTATTCATACAACACGATACAATATCTCTTACTCACGAGGGTGACGAGAGTAATGTGGTAACCCTTCCCGAAGGTGTATATGAAATCGAAGATATCAATAAATACTTACAACATGAAATAATATTAATGAATGATACATATGAAGAGAGATATGAAAACAAAGTTGATGAAATATTCTCTTTGAAAGCCAACACTAATACTTTGAAGTGTGAACTCCATTCTGTATTCGATATTGCTCTGTCCAATTCCATGGTAACTATGCTTGGATCTAAATAACTCCCATCAACATAATAAGAGTCGACTGTGGATTAATATCAGGAGCTTATTGCAAGGGCAATGAAATGCACACTTTGTATGAGTTTGATATACACGTTGAACCGGGATTTAAGTTAACAAAGGAGCCTCAGAATGTAATATATATGAGCGTTAAACCGCGTCGACGCCAGTTTATTGATAACATCACACTGGAAATTTTGGATGACGACGGGAATTTGGTCAATTTCCGTGGTGAAAAAATTATAGTCAAATTAGAACTGCGACGCCTGTCTAGTGCCAGCTGAAGACAATGGGATTTCTATATAATCTAGATATATATCATTTGAAGAATGTAGAAAAAGGACGCACAACTAATCATAAAAGACGAAGAACCAATGGAAATTCCGTTAATCGCCGTTCAACCATCGTCAAAGACACAGCATCGAATATTTCGCTGCAAAATCGCAAGTTCCTGGAGTCTATAGGGCTGAAACTAATCAAACAATATGGGTCTACACGTATCAAATGAGAAATTGGATGTTTTTGAGGAACCCATCATAGATTATTCGTTAGCCAGCCTACAAGAATACACATACAAACCATATGGATCGCCATATTTCAAGAATTCAAATATAGTTCACATCCCTATAAACTTCCAAGATCTTATTTTAAACATTGCTGACAGTTATATTTACGTCGAAGGAACATTTACGCCTAGCGACACTACGAAACCCTGCTACTTGTCAAACAATGCATTGGCCTTTTTATCTCAAGAAATTTCCCTACAGATGGGTGGCGAAAAAGTGTATGGAGTTCGGAATCCAGGGATAACTTCAACTATAAAAACGATGGTGTCACATGGTAAAAGTGCTATCCATACACTTTTGTGTAGTGGTTGGACCTTAAGTGCCGAGAACTCAGCTATATGGGATGTCAAAAGTAAAGTTTTTAGTGGTAGGATACCCCTAAAATATATAATGGGATTCCCAGAAGACTACAAAAAAAGGGTTCTAAATATAAAACATGAGCTTCTGTTGGTTATTGCAAGATCCTTCAAAAACTGTTATGTGGGTGAATGTCATGCTGAATTGACTATATCCAAGATTGAATGGAATGTTCCACACATCGTTCCGGATGATCGTTACAAAGTCAAGCTTCTGCAAAGGCTGAATAAACATGTGAGCTCAAGGATCAAGGTAGCATTTCGATCTTGGGATCTCTATGAGCTTCCATCTCTTCGTTCTACATCATCGGATGGTTGGGCAATTAGAACAACCAGTAAACTAGAGAGACCTCTATTCGTTATCATTGGATTTCAAGATTCTACAGTTGAAGAAAATCATTCGATGGATATAACGAAATTCATAAATGCCAACGTTAACTCAATTCGCTTGAAGTTGAACAACCAAGTATTCCCATATGAAAGGTGGAACTTGAATTTCGGAAAAAAGCTCAACACCGCAGATTATTATGTATTTGAGAACTTTCAAAAAACATACTACAACCGGAACATTCCTGTACCTATGATGGATATTAAAGAATTTAATGACAATCCGCTTTTCGTTATTGATTGCAGTCATCAGCCTGATCATCTCCAACTTTCAACTGTCGACATATCTTTGGAATTTGAGACCAGGAAATCTGCATTTCCATTCCACACCAAGGTGTATGCATTAGTTATTCATGACTCATGCGTCAGTTACAATGCTATTGATGGGTCTATCCAAAATGGACTTATTCGTTCCTATTAAATGTTTTGTGCAAGTGTGAAGTAAACTCATTTTCTTACTACATGTTGATTTTATTTACCTGTACAAGCTTGTCGTAACCTAAATCTAATGCTTACAAACTTCCTCTAACACTAATTTTATTAATAAGTCTAAATTACCATTTTTAGGAAAAGTGCGTTCTGCAATATCATTTATTGCACCTATAGCATATTTAACATTCAACGAGGGGTCAGTCTGGTAAAACTCAGTGTTAGAGTATCCCCAAGGTAAAGTTTTTGTGGTGTTAGGAATAATAAACCTTTTATCATCACGATGTGCTAGAGCAGCCTTATTTTTCACCTTGGTGTACACATCATGTAGAGAATCTTTTTCAATATCCGCCCACCTACTTCGATTATTATCTTATAGCTCGCCCATTTCCAGCGTCAATTGTCGCTCGGTATTTTGGGTGTCCGATTTCACTAGCATTATACTTTCTATGAAAGCGTTTATACCTGTCTGACTGTTCGCCTGCTTAGTGGGGCAGCAGCATATATACATCGGACAATGCGATAAAGGTTTTATGGTAGTCGTAGCGCTCGGCGAATAGAAATGGTGCGGGAGCTGGTCACACTGAATCTACCTTAATCGCAGATTCGACTAAATTTACTAATAATATGTAATTTTTAAGTAAATGAACAAGAAGAGCTCGGTATGACGGGGCGCATCCTATCGAAAGTACCTATCATACCGACTTGAAGATAAGGCGTGAAAGAAGAATGTCACCGTGGAATCCAATGAAGCCTACATACGTTTAAATGAAATTTTAGGCTCATTTGAAAAAACTTGAAATGAAAAACTTATTTCCGCCAGAAGCTCCTATCGTACCAACTGAAAGCTAGAGCAGTCAATGCAAATAGGTATAGATAAAAATAATGCCCCTGTTTTTATGTTTTATGTTTGCATTCAAAAGCTCATTCGAGTTTGTCAGTATGACACATGGCTACTAGATGTTTGAAAGTATAGGTATGTAAAATGAATATGACATACGTATAAGTTATCGTAGAATCCTACCGTCACGTTGTATCTTCAAGTCGGTATAAGAGGTACTTTCAGCAGGATCCACCCCAAGCATATCAAGCCCTTTTTTTACTTAAAGAATCCATATTATTATCGAGTCTAGTCGAATCCGCGAATTCTGAGTATCGCCTCTATGAACACATCTGACTATGATTCCCTCTTCAGGACATTGAACGGGTGACCTCAATTCATCAATCCGCACTCATCTTTCATCGCCAGTAATGTCATCATAATCGGTAGAATGTTTGTCGATGAATACTCGATGACTTAACGTTAACTGTGGTGTGACAAATTAAACATTGTGCTTTCCATCAGTATTTACAAAAAAAAGGCTTCTTCCCATACAGGATTGAATGAGAAGGTTTAAAAAAAATATGCATGTTAAGACCACTTTGTCTTGTCCTATTAAGGAATGGCCTGCGGTCGGGGATAGTCCGATAATATTTTGCTTTCAGTCGCGATTAGCCATGGGTAACACTGGTAATTTTCGCGTGTTGATACAATGACACACACAGTGCTTACTGTGTCAAAACAATGTGTCAACACTATTGTGTTATGACACGGTATGTACGGTACGCGGGTACGGTGCTGAAACAAAAAATGCGCTTACTGTGGCGACACCCATCCAGTGTGATGTGCCGACGCTGACATTTATTAAAGCGCGGGTATGGTACGTTTTGGTATTCTGGGAATCAAAAACGGTGACTTCGGCGAGGAATAGGGGGATTATTCAAAGTCACCACGGAATCACGGAAACAAAGTCCCTCTTGTGTCACTCCTCTCAAGCAGTTACGTTACGAGGCAACCTATCAATCTACAATCTACTAACAACTAACCTTGGAATGACTCGAACGGCCGGAATAGTAAAATCGCACAGTGTCACCCATGTGTCACCGTGCCATCCAATAGCCAATCGAACTCGACGGCGGGACGCGGAGCGGCGCTCATGAAACTTGGAACTTAACTTTCCGCCATTTTCTAAAGTGTCAGGGTGTCATTGTGTCACGACAAGTTGTTTCAACACACATGATACCGCGGAAGGTATCGACACAAATGTGCCACTCAGCACAGTGTTACCCATGCCTAGTCGCGATGGCTGTGCGGTCGAGGAGGAGGGGGAATCTTCAGGGCATCTCTCCACACATTTCTATTAAACAAGACGTTTTTGATAGTATGAGGATGGTCATTGAGAGGAGTCGGAATTTAACCACAACTGGCAATTTCACACTACTAGTGTCTGTCCATCCAATAAACCTTGAGGCTTTCATAACTTTATTATTGACATTGATAACAGAAAATTTATCGTTACTACTGTGGCAAGAACTAAAATCGGCTCATGATCAGTGACGGCGGAGGCCAACAAACTGCTTTACTTTCGTGTTTCGACTTTTTGTAGTCCCTGACGTATTTTTGACAAAATGTGGAGGTGCTCAAAAATAACGGTGGAGAAGGGGTTGTAAAGGGCAAAACTGATAATCTTTCGCACATTTTAGGCATAGATAATTATACTTCGCACATTTTGTCGAGACATTCGCCTTTCAGTCGTAGAAAATCAATGTTTTATACAGTTTAAGCTCGATATTAGGGTGTTTTTATTAAAGTAGGCTTGAGTTCCCCGTGTAAGTCTAAGAACTTGGAAGTTCGAAAATAAACAAAATTTAGGCTTAACTTAGCCTTTTCTGTGTCCTCTTGAGAACTTTATGCTAAAAAGAGAATATTCTTATTCTGGCTTCTAGACCTCTCTGGCTTTGGGACTTACACCCTCAAATTACAGGTGTCGCGAAAACACTTCTGTAATTAATTTTCGGGATGCATATTGTTCTTGTCCGATTATTTAGACGATTTGAACGAACATATATCCTTTTTTCGATAATACCTAAGCTAAAAACCGAATATATTGATACACGCCAATTATATTCAGGCTTTTCTTTGTTCTTTGAACTCGCACCTATTCTTGGGACACAGAAAGCATTTTCTCAGGTTTTTCAGCTTCATGCATGAAAAGGTCGTTCAGTAAGGTAATAGTTAATAAACATCGTTTTGGAAACCTATTTTTTCAAATTTACTTATTCATCGCCAAATCGCGAATCTCCACGTACAAAGTATCGAATTTGACTTGTGGAACTGATCTCACAACCCGTCCTACTGACTCTCAAATTTCAGCTCTCGATCATCCATAATCCATAATAACATTTCGTCATCTTCCATTATGTTTACCCATTTTATTAACAGTTTCGGTGAAGCGTACATAGTTGCCACGAGAGGAGGACCAAGGGGGTCGTAATACGGAAAACAAAAGGGTGCTGATCTGGATGTTATTCTAGAGAGCAATCGTAGTGACTTGTAATTTGTCACGCTTAAGTATGAGAGCTTAATTGCTGGGTTGCTGATGATGACGCATTTCGGGACGACATATCTTTATAATGGAATAGCATAAATGCACTGCAAGGAACGATCAAGGGTGGAAACCCGTTATAAGTCTGTCATCTCGAAGATGCTCAAAGCAAGCTAACTATCGCCTTCAGTTCTAGAACTGGAACTTTAAACCCATCTAATGCAGATTACTTTACAAGAGATTTGAAAAAGCAAGCAAACGTATATGTTCAGTGTGCCTATATTTGTAATATAAAAAAAATAAAAAGACGGTAGCGACTATTTGGAAAACTAAGATAAAATATGGTGATTCAAATGCTTTAAAATAGCTAGTTACCGGCAGTTATTATAAAAATGACGGGCAAACATTTTTATGCTTATTTTTTTTTTAATAATAAAATGTTCTTGCAAAGAAACGGTTGAATACGTATCGATTTCAAATCGATTGTATCTACTTCAAAAACGAATAGATTTAGATGAATTTCGATGGTATTTGGAGAGTAAATTGTGAGGTAAGGATCAAATATTGAAAATATGGTAAATAGTAATAGTCACATAGAAGCCGAAAAATATCTATTTCTTTCATACTGAAGCACCCGCGCAGACCAAACCGTAAATACGACGATACCGCGGCTGCTATGAGGAGCTGAAAGAAACGTTGTTATTCCGATAATTGAACTACCTGAGGTCAGTAGTAGAACTGAGAAAAGCCTCCTCCGGTAGATTTTTCCGCGATCTTGATCCTGGATGTACGAAGTTCCATACGGCTAGGATAGGAGACTGAAGTCAGTCGGGTTTATCTAGCAGGCACATCACACGGCGGCATCATGAAGGAGAGCTATGAGGAGAAAAGTTGGTGTAGCCGTAGCAGAGAACTAGATCGCTTTCAGTTCGAAAGGGCCCCGAGACTGATCGGTCAGTCGTACAGCTGTCCTGTAAACAATATCGAGCATGGATAGTATAGTCGGGTGGCAGTACCCCACTCGTGTAAACAGTAGGTACTCCTGGAGGAGGCTAGGCCTCAGGATTGTACAGGATGGCCAACTAAGAATGCGAGGTACTGTATCTGTAGAGGCTTATGGCCAACAAAAATCTTACTAAAACGACCAAAAGAAAAACAAAAACCTGGAAAATATTTTCAAGTTTCTGAAGTGGCGGCTATTGAGCGTAACTACAATCTTGAATCTAAAAAGGTTTGATGTTTCTGCGAATTCTGCTATATTAACCTAACAAAAAAATACCTGATCTTTAAAGTCGAGGTTGATGTGAACTTTTTTGTTCATCAATTTTTGCTGTATCTCTAAAAATAAAGTGGTGGAGGTATTTCAAAGGTTTCCGTAAAATACAACCTATATCTTCTAAACTGCTGAGCCGAGTTTAACAAACTTGGGCTAGTTGAAAAGAGCTATTCTATATATGTATATACATATACATTCAGAACTATGGGATAAAACTTGTAGGGGTTATTCAGTGTAACAGTAGAAAACATTTGAGTATAGGGACCCATATCCGGAAAAGGGTCGCTACGGCACTACGGCCCTAAGACGCGTTATAATTTAGAAAGACGATGAATTGCCTAAATAGGATTT